GAGTCCTGACTCAACAGAAACGATGTTTGTTGTTTTCAGCCACCACTTGGACTCACTTGTTACACAGCAGTAGGTAACGAATACAGCTCTAACTGGCTTCCCAGGAGTCCCCTGTTTGTTTGCTGCTCTTTGTTAAGGAGAAGTGTGATTGCTTTTCTGCAAAGGATTCCCCATCATCTCCCAACCTCAGAGGCTCCATATGGTGACTGCCCCTCAGTGCCTTACCAGGGCCGCCTAAGAGGTAAGAGGCCCTGACCTTGATCAGCTGCTCTTCTGGGAGTTCCAGGGCTGTGCGCTTCTATGTGGTGAGCATGTGTCTGTGAACCCAAATGACAGGTATGCATAACTCACGTCTCATAAAAATATTTTCCATGTATTTCCTTCCACTCCTGCAGATTTCTGATGTCTCCACCTTACTGGAGGCTGTGTGTCCTGGGTTCTGACTTTCCCACCTCTCCCTGGACAGGGGAAGGTGGGGAGATGGTGGGAGTTCCCTGGAGCCTCGGGAAGTGGCTAGGACTGCCCCAGGAGAGGGCTGTGGGTTTGGGGAGAGGTGAGTGGGTCTCTGGGTCCTGGGGAGCAGGCATCTCTCCAGGGCCTGTACCTGAGGTCCATGTGTGGACCTGAGCATGGCTCAGCGTGGACATTACCAAACATGCCTCCTCCCCGGCAGAGGGGTCCCTCCCTGCTGGGCACCCCAAGGGGCAGTTCGGGTCCCCTAGGACAGACATGTCCACCAGTGTGAGTCACGATGTCTGCTTGTCTCTTTTTGCCACTGCAGGTCCCCATGTTGGGGCCAGATCTGTGTCTGTGAACCGTCAGCTGCCCAATGGGGTCCACAGAGCGATGTGACACACCCTGGGATTCTAGGACCACCCCCCATCCAAGCAAGACCCACAGCCGTGGTGAGAAGGGCAGGCTCCAGACCTCAGACCCTGATCTTCCTCTGCAGCGGCAAGCTGAGAGCCCGGCCCACAGGAGGGTGCAGCCCTGGGGGAGCTGGGGCAGCCCCACCTGAAGTGGAGGGCCCAGCCTCCTCCCTCCCACCCCCACTGTCTCCTGGGGCTCCGGAGGGGAAAGTGGCCTTGCGTGCTGTTTATATGCTCTTTTCTTAAAATCGCCATTGTCATGAGAACTGTTCGCAGTTGTGGTGATGACACACAAGGGTGGGGTTTTCAGGGGGACGCTTGCACAGGCAGTGGCCTCGCAGTTCATCTGACCCCACAGATGCAGGATACATGCTGGGAGAGTTCAGCCGTTTCTTAAACACACACATTTTTTTTAAATTGTTCATTTGATTTAATTTTTGAGTTCACTTTTACTACGTGGATGAGATGGGTGTGTATTACACTAGGGCTTCCGCTATGAGAGCTGCCACCGCTCAGAGAAATCCAACCCTCAGTCCCTTTCCACTCCTCTTTCTGAGTCCCACAAAAGCCACCGGTGGGCACTGCTGGGTTCCAGTCCTGGCTTGTCACTCCCTCGGGGGCTGTCTCAGTGGGGACAGGGAGGGGGGGCACAGGTCCCAACTTCCCCAGAAGCCCACTGCAATGGATCAGTACCCACCCGTGCTCCCTGGCTTGGCTCTGGGAGGTCACCAGCAGTGTCCCCATAGGTTTCTGTAGAACGAAAGCCAGGGGCACTGAGGGCTGCAATCATCTGGTTTCTGAGGCACTGGCTCTGGGTCCTTCCTGCAAGAAACGCCTCATGCTTTCCACCAAGAGGCTGGCCAGCGAGGACTCGGACCCCAGCATCCAGTCATGGGGCTGGTCTGCCAGGGAGAAGAGGAGGCTGCTGCTGTGTCCAAGCAGGTAGCCGTCCTCAAAGGCTGGCGCTGGGGGGTCTGGAGGTCCCCCCGGACTGAGGGAGGGGGAGGAGGCCAGCCGAGGAGGGTCTTGGCAGGAGAGAGAGCCCAAGCCTCCAACCTGCAGGCTGGCCAGAGTGGGCCACCAGCCAGGAATGGAAGGATGGAGCAGGTGAGGTGGCGGCTTGGGAACCCCGTCCCCTGCCCCCCGACATCTGAATCTTCAGGCACTGGTCCCCCGCCCCCCAGCATCTACTCAGGGCTCCCAGAGGGGCACTTGTGGCTGCCACCCACTCACACTGGGCCACCTGTCCAGAGGTGCGCCTGAAAGCCCTGTGGCCAGGAACAGTGTGGGAGCATCTTTTGACCAGAGCAGAGGGCACACGGGAGGGGGCTGAGACTCCAAAGGGATATAAGGATGGGTCCTCCAAGGGCATCTGCAAAGCATGGAGCAGAGGAGGGACAGTGGGAGGCTGGCTTTCCCCACACACGTGCTGGGCCAGAAGGAAGCGGGCCCTTCTGGGAGGAGGGGCCAGCATGTGTCCATGCTGCCCACAACCCTCTAGACGCTTGCTCACAGGTCCCTGGTGGAACGTGCCCACTCCCCTGAAGACCCAGGCCAAGCCACACCCCACCACCACTCCAGCCAAGGGCAATGACCGAAGCCTCCCAGGCCAGCCGAGGGTGCCAACCTCAGGCCAGGGGGTCTCAGAGGGCCCCTGTGCCACCACATTAAAGTGTGCTGCAGCTCCTACCCACCAGTTCCAAAAAGCACCACTGCACACGGGACTCCCAGGGCTGGCCAGTGACAGGGTACCTGGCCCCCACTGCCCAGAGGTCCTTCTCTGTCCAAGTCTGTCTTCCTCCGCCCCCTCCTGCGTGCCCAGCCCCTCTCCCAGAGGAGGACATCCAGGTGGAGGTGGCCCTGCCTGCCGGCAGGAGCTGCCTCAGAAGACGTACCCTAAGTGACAAGGTGCTCACAGCACAACGACCTGCGTGTTCCTGCCACCATCGCTGGATTTATTGAGGTCGCCACCACGTCCACTAAGAGGGCTGCCAAGAGGGGACCCAGCCACCGCCAGCCTGGGGCCTGAACTGCGGGGCTGTGTGCCACGCCCTGGGGGCTCCACAGGCAGAGCCTGTGGGCACAGCCTTGCCACGAGGGCTGGACAGCTCGGAACGCGAAAGAGAAGCTGAAGCTGGGAGAACAGGAGGGGAGGAGGGACGGGAGCAAAAGCCGCATCTAGACAAAGTCGAACAAAACAAAACCGAAACCCAGATGTGTTCTTGTCTCATCTCGGGATCCAGGCGCCGCGGTGTCCAAACGGCCCCTTAGCCGGACGTCTCCTCCCGCTGCTCCCTGTTCCTGCGCACTTCGGCAGCGTGCAGCTCCTGCGGGACAGGCGGGGTGGGCGGGGCCCTGCAGCCGGCAGGGGCGGGGTCCTGCCCCCCCCACCCCTCCTGGGCTCTGGGGGCCCTGCCCTCCGGCTCCCGGGCTTTGGGGACCCTGGGGTCTTTTCCTCCCTAGACTGGCTCGGTCCCAGGTGCGGCAGATGCGACCAATGAGGACACCTTAGTGACCAGGAGCAACAGAGGGCAGGGGCAGGCCTGCGTCACGGACTGCAAGTGCGGCTTGAGGGTGGGGGCTGGCCCTCAGTGAGCCTGGGGTGGTGTCCAGACCCGAGCATTGTGACTCCGGGAATTTCCCGGGGAGTGCAGGCTCGGGGCTCCCCGGAGCTAACCTGGTCCCGCTCGCAGGGAGGCTGCTCCGGCCTGGGCAGGGGCTCGCCTCACCCTGGCTAGCCCTAGTAGGACGGGGCGTCACGGGGAGGTCGGACTGCGGGAGCGCTGCTGGGGTAGTGGGCAGGGACCGGCCAAAGGCCAAAAGAAGGGGCTCCTGGGGGCCCCCTGCTTCGGGCCCCGCCCCCCGCTCGGGCCCCGCCCCCCGCTCGGGCCCCGCCCCGGCACGCACCTTCTCGCGCAGCCGCTCAGCTGGCCAGAGTGGGCCACCAGCCAGGAATGGAAGGATGGAGCAGGTGAGGTGGCGGCTTGGGAACCCCGTCCCCTGCCCCCCGACATCTGAATCTTCAGGCACTGGTCCCCCGCCCCCCAGCATCTACTCAGGGCTCCCAGAGGGGCACTTGTGGCTGCCACCCACTCACACTGGGCCACCTGTCCAGAGGTGCGCCTGAAAGCCCTGTGGCCAGGAACAGTGTGGGAGCATCTTTTGACCAGAGCAGAGGGCACACGGGAGGGGGCTGAGACTCCAAAGGGATATAAGGATGGGTCCTCCAAGGGCATCTGCAAAGCATGGAGCAGAGGAGGGACAGTGGGAGGCTGGCTTTCCCCACACACGTGCTGGGCCAGAAGGAAGCGGGCCCTTCTGGGAGGAGGGGCCAGCATGTGTCCATGCTGCCCACAACCCTCTAGACGCTTGCTCACAGGTCCCTGGTGGAACGTGCCCACTCCCCTGAAGACCCAGGCCAAGCCACACCCCACCACCACTCCAGCCAAGGGCAATGACCGAAGCCTCCCAGGCCAGCCGAGGGTGCCAACCTCAGGCCAGGGGGTCTCAGAGGGCCCCTGTGCCACCACATTAAAGTGTGCTGCAGCTCCTACCCACCAGTTCCAAAAAGCACCACTGCACACGGGACTCCCAGGGCTGGCCAGTGACAGGGTACCTGGCCCCCACTGCCCAGAGGTCCTTCTCTGTCCAAGTCTGTCTTCCTCCGCCCCCTCCTGCGTGCCCAGCCCCTCTCCCAGAGGAGGACATCCAGGTGGAGGTGGCCCTGCCTGCCGGCAGGAGCTGCCTCAGAAGACGTACCCTAAGTGACAAGGTGCTCACAGCACAACGACCTGCGTGTTCCTGCCACCATCGCTGGATTTATTGAGGTCGCCACCACGTCCACTAAGAGGGCTGCCAAGAGGGGACCCAGCCACCGCCAGCCTGGGGCCTGAACTGCGGGGCTGTGTGCCACGCCCTGGGGGCTCCACAGGCAGAGCCTGTGGGCACAGCCTTGCCACGAGGGCTGGACAGCTCGGAACGCGAAAGAGAAGCTGAAGCTGGGAGAACAGGAGGGGAGGAGGGACGGGAGCAAAAGCCGCATCTAGACAAAGTCGAACAAAACAAAACCGAAACCCAGATGTGTTCTTGTCTCATCTCGGGATCCAGGCGCCGCGGTGTCCAAACGGCCCCTTAGCCGGACGTCTCCTCCCGCTGCTCCCTGTTCCTGCGCACTTCGGCAGCGTGCAGCTCCTGCGGGACAGGCGGGGTGGGCGGGGCCCTGCAGCCGGCAGGGGCGGGGTCCTGCCCCCCCCACCCCTCCTGGGCTCTGGGGGCCCTGCCCTCCGGCTCCCGGGCTTTGGGGACCCTGGGGTCTTTTCCTCCCTAGACTGGCTCGGTCCCAGGTGCGGCAGATGCGACCAATGAGGACACCTTAGTGACCAGGAGCAACAGAGGGCAGGGGCAGGCCTGCGTCACGGACTGCAAGTGCGGCTTGAGGGTGGGGGCTGGCCCTCAGTGAGCCTGGGGTGGTGTCCAGACCCGAGCATTGTGACTCCGGGAATTTCCCGGGGAGTGCAGGCTCGGGGCTCCCCGGAGCTAACCTGGTCCCGCTCGCAGGGAGGCTGCTCCGGCCTGGGCAGGGGCTCGCCTCACCCTGGCTAGCCCTAGTAGGACGGGGCGTCACGGGGAGGTCGGACTGCGGGAGCGCTGCTGGGGTAGTGGGCAGGGACCGGCCAAAGGCCAAAAGAAGGGGCTCCTGGGGGCCCCCTGCTTCGGGCCCCGCCCCCCGCTCGGGCCCCGCCCCCCGCTCGGGCCCCGCCCCGGCACGCACCTTCTCGCGCAGCCGCTCACGCAGCGCGGCCAGATGCGCCTCGCGGATCTCCTTGCTGAGCTCCATCTTGTAGTTGAGCTTCTCCTCGGCCAGGCGGCTGAAGTTGTTGTTCTCCGCCAGCGCCTTGTGCAGCACCTCGCGCTCGTGCTCGCGCCGCTCCGCCAGCTGCTTCAGCACCTGCGCCTCCTGCGTCTGCGTGGGCGGACGGGTGGGCGAGCGTGAGGGGCGGCCTCCCTGCGCCGCTCTCCGCGCCCCGCCCAGTGCCCCGCGCCCCGCCCTGCCGCCCAGCCCGAGCCCACCGCCTCCCGCCCACCGGACTCGTACTCGGGGAGTTCGGGCCTACCCTGTCCTGCCGTCGGCTGGAGTGACCACCTCACCCCCAGGCAAGAGCTCCCTGTCCACCCTCGGCCGCAGAGCTGCCCCTCCCCGCTGGGCTCCGGGCGCCCCCGCTCCATCCCTCTCGAGTCCCAGCTGCCCTCGGGGAACGTGGGAGGAGCGGAGCCTTCCCCGTCTTTTCCTCAAAAGTCTGCGCGCTGAGCACAAAGGAGGTGCTTAATACACACCGGGTTCTGAGCTCCCTAAGGTGCCGGGGGCGGGGGAGGGGTCCCAGGGCCGCTGGGGAAGGGACGAGTTGGAACGAGGAGGGTGGGGCTGCTGGCGCCACTGTCCGGCCCTGCTGGTGGCCGCGGGAGTGGACCCGAGGCGCCCAGAGGTAATTAGCCTCCCACAGCCTCCTTCAGAAGGGTGCTGGGCTCCACCCACGTGCCAGTCACTACTAGTTAACCCTGAGAAGCCTGGGTCCCCAGGGCTCACCGGTCCTGCCGTAAGGGGGATAGAGCTGCTGCACCTGCCCAGTGGGCTTGGGCACCAGGACAGCACTCCTGAGAGCACGTGCTTCTCTGCGTGTGTCTCAGTTTCAGAGGGGCTGGTGTGAGAAAGGGTGGGGAGGGGCCTGCTTCTCCCAGGGGCCCCCTGAGCTCCCAGCTCATGGAAAGCCCTTCCTTCACGCTCCCCTGCTCAGGAGGCTGTCGCCCAGCCTCCTCTCCCAGGGCCCCTCCTGGGGCTACCACCTGACGCTCCCACTCTGCCAGCATGGCCAAGGGTGCCCCTCCCAGCAGTATCTGGTTCCTGTCTCCCTCCAGCTGGCTGCCATTGAGAAATCCTTCCTCCCCCCTGTCTCATTCTGATGGCTCAGGAGGTGGCCCCGGGACCATGAGACCCTCTCTGCTACACAGGCCCACAGCCAGTCGAGTGCTTGGCGCACCCCGTACCTTGGGGTTGCTGTCTGTGGCCAGCAAGGCCCCCGACCGTCTTTATCAGGACCAGAGGGGTGGCTCCTTACCTTCCTCCGCCCCTCAGCTGCCTCCAGCCGCTTCTGCAGCTCCTCCAGGGAGGTGTCCTTCCTCTTGGGGGGCGAGGAGAGCATGGGACTCTCCGGGGACACGTCAGAAGGGGACTTGAGGATGACCTCAAAGCTCTGGCCGGAGGCCCTCTTGTCCAGCTGCTTCACCTCCATGTCTGCAGGGCAAGAGCAGACGGGGGCTTCAGGGGGGCTGCTCAAGGAGTGGGCAGGCTGAGCACACACCCAAGTCAAGGGCTGAGAGGAGGGCTGAGGCTGCTCACGTGGGACTCCCAGGACCGGCCCCTCCCCACAGGGACCCGTCTCCGGAAGGCAGCCAAGCGGGGGTTCACAGACGCCACGGGAGGGGGTAGCGAGGTCAGGGCAGCAGCCAGGCACACTCACCCCCATACTGGTAGACGGTGTTGGGGTGCGGCTGTGAATAGAAGCAGGAGCAGAGGAGTGACAGCACCGACAGCTCCTTCATCTTCTTGTAGGCTGTGGGCGTGAGGCCAGCCTGAGCAGGTGCCATCCCATCGCACCTCCAGCCCCACCTCCCTGGATGCCCAGGCCTCCCTGCCTCTGCCCCCGTTGCTGCCCCCGATGCGCCTGTCTGGGAGCCTGTTTACCTTGATCTTTTGTGTCCCACATCTCTGACTCTCTACGTCCCTCCCTCCCTCCCAGATGTTGGCTGTCTTTCCCTGGGCACGCCCCCCTGTGGGTGTCCTGCACTGATCTTTCTGTTCCCGTCTCTGAGTCCCTGCCCCCCTCGCTCTGTCTGTCTCTGCCTCTCTCTCCCTCCTTTTCTCTCTCTTGGCATTTCTGTGTGTGTCTCCGTTCATCCTTCTGTCTTTCTGGCTCTCCGTCTGTCACTACCTCTCTTTGTATCTTTACGTCTCCGTGATTCTTGGTCGCTGTGTGTCTTCCCGCCTCTCCCCTCCCGCTGCCCCTCTGCATACTTCTCCTTCCTCCCCTTTCCCTCTTGTGGACACTTGCCCGGTCGGTGGAGAGGTCACCACGCTGGTGACTGGGCCACGGCACAAATGTAGAGCTTCCTCAGGCAGCACCTTCTTGGGCTGTGCACTTAGGTGAAGCCCTCAGACCCTCCTGTCTGCCCCCCAGCCCACCCCCATGTACCCTGTAGTGCGCCCACCGTGGGACGAAATCAGGTTCTCACCAGACACGCACTGGCTGCCCGTCAAAAGCTAAAGGGACGGGAGCTGTCCGTTCAGCACCACAGCCCGCCCTCTGGCCTTGCAGGGTGAGTGCCCACAGCCAGTGTCCACACTACCCAACCAGAAAAGGAGGTACGCCTGCTGAGGCCCTGAGCCTTGTCAGGCAAGGGGAGATGCTCGCTCTCAGAATGGAAATAATTGAGCTCTTTGTGGTTGGTACATAGCAAGCCAGGCCCCAAAGTAGACACATGGGTCTGATGTCTCACTGGCTCTCAACAATGTATGCCCAGTACTGTCACCCCCACTCAACCAAGAGGACACTGGGCCCAGGTAGCTGGGTGACTTGTTCAAAGCTCCTCCAGGGCAACCCCAGGTGGTCTGTGTTCTTTCCACCACTGCAGTAGGTCCCAAAGACTTGGGGGCTCAGACCCATGCACCTGCCTCCCTGGCTGGAGAAGCTAGTATAGGTCTCTAGAGAGATACTCCACGGAGAGCAACTCCGGCTTCCATGAAAGAGCACATGCATAGTTACCCACAGCATTCTTCCAAGGGGCAGACAGGTTGGGCAAGAAACTTAATGATGAAATTTCACACAAGATAATATTTTTAAATTGATTTCACGTAAAATTGGGGAAAGTGCTGGTGTAGAAACAGGACACAGGACAGAAGTGACTAGGCCCTGTCTGAGGGAACAGCTTGCTGTGAGCAGGGTCCTCCAACAACCAGTGCAGAGAATGATGTTATTTGATCTAAATGTCCTGATGACCCAGACTCTTCCGGAGAGAGCCCGAGAAGTTGTGACGGGAGCACAGAGGAATCCTGAGCAAGCAGCAGGCAGAGCCTTAGGGGTCTTGGAGGAGAAGCAGGGCGAAGACACATGACTTGGTCATTGGCTCGGGAGTGTGGGAGGGCGGGCCTCAGGGAGGGCGGGCCTCAGGGAGGGCGGGCCAGGTGAGGGCGGGCCTCAGGGAGGGCGGGCCTCAGGGAGGGCGGGCCAGGTAGGGGAGGGCGGGCCAGGTAGGGGTGGCCTCAAAGGGGATTTTGGCCTGACTTGTCGTTTTTGCTTTTTCACAAGCAGAATCTACTCGCGTATTACTTATGTCATTAAAAGTTAACTGTAGAAAGGAGGCTGAGGGGTACCTCCCAGGACGTGTGCTTGGGAGTTAGAGGAGGCAGGACCAGGCAGAGTGGCTCTCCAGGAACAGCAGAGCAGGAGATATTTGGACACTTGGAGAGGCTGCGGAGGTAGCCAGACCTGTGCTCAGAAGGGAAGGTGGGGCAGGGAGTGAGAGGGAGTCTGGTCAGGGGCCTAGCTGGGTCCTGGGAGAGGCCAGGGAGGAGGGGGCCTCAGTCTAACCCTGCCAGCACCCACCACTCTGGCAACAGACACCAGCCCCCTACCCTGACCTTTCAGAGAATCCTTTCTCATCCCGTGTTAAAACCTCCGAAAGAGTTTACCTTACACACCAGGAACCTGGGGCCTCACAGCTGCTCAAGGCCCTCTCTGCCTCAAGCCTGAGATTTTCCCAGGAAAAGCGTTGCAAATTAATAACAGAGGAATTTTACAGACAAATGCCAGGGGCTCCCTTCTAGGCAACTGTCACTTCAGCCTGGAGCGGGGCTGGTGGCAATTCAGGGGCAGGAGGGGGAGCTTGGGCAGGTGTGAGTGTAGGCAGGTGAGAGGGGAGAGGGCTGGGGGCTCAAGACTGAGGTCAGAGTCTCCGAGGTCATGGCTCTGCCCAGGGTACAAGTGTCCAACTGGGAAGTGAAGGACTGTGTCCCGGGGCTGCAAACAGGGATGCAGCTTGGCGTCTGGTGGTCGTGGAGATCCCCTGGGTTGGTGGCCTATGAGGACCTTCCTTCTCTGAAGACCCTTCCTCAAGAAGCCCAGTGGGAAGGGGCAACTCCCCAGGAGGGGGCTTGGGAGTGAGGCCTGCGCTGTGGTCTGGCTGCAGGTCAGAGGGGACTGCATGGTGGGTGGGGAACCGGCAAATTTGGAGAGAGTGAGCAGGGGGCAGCCTGCACCGGGGTTGGAGATCAGGGCTGGGCCCAGCCACATGCAAGATGGGAGGGTATGCCTGTATTTTCAGAGCCGGTGGGGCTTAAAGTTCCTCTCATTGCAGAGGGAAGAGGTGGAGGCCCAGACTTCTCCACAGACATAGCTCCAGCCAGGAAGTGGGGCCTCGAGGCGTGCCCTCCCTTTTCTCTCCTCACCAGGACCCTCTCTTCCTTCCCCATCACTGACTTCAGAAAGTCATTAAAAACAAATCTCTACCATGAACTGGATTGCTTTGATCCCCCTTCATATGCAAAAGTGCATATTGGCCTTTTGGATGATTACATCTCAGAAGAGCAAGAGTTAGAAGGCACCAGGTCAGCCTAGAGCACCTGGTGACAACAGTGCCCAAGGGGGATGGAGTGGGCACACCACACTCTTCCTCCGAACTGACTCTCAAGACCAGCCAGCCCAGGCAGACACCCTCATCAGCCTCATTTCTACAGAGGAGAAGGAGGTGCGAGAGGGCAAGTGGCGCCCCCAAAGTCACACAGCGCACCAGGGTGGCAGCCCTGTCACGAGCCCAGGCCTCTGCACTTTCCTGTTGGGAGCCTCATGGTGGGTGGGTGGGGGGTCTTCCAGAGCTAGGAGGGAAGCGGGCCCACAGATTCCCGCTCACCCCTAACAGGGCCCTGGAGGCCGCTGCTAACTGCCTCCTAACAGATGGAGCTCGTTGCCACCCAGGCTGCCCCTCCCTCGTCAGCGTCTCCTCCATCAGTGTCGGGCGCCCAGCATGGCAGGAGTTGACAGCAGAATTCACCTTTCTCTGGGAAATGTGGCTACAACAGTCATGCTGCCTGGCATGGGCTGGGCACTCACCTCTTGCCAGGCCCCAGGCCAAGTACTGTTTCCTGAAATAGCTCATTCAACTCTCAGAACAAGCCTAGGGGAGGTGCTGTCACTATCATGGTCACCCAGATGGGGAGATTGAGCCCCTGAGAGGCTAGGTAGCAGGTGCAAGGCCTTGCAGCTTTGCCAGAGTTGCATGAGAGGATGAACACGAGCAAGTCTACAGTGCCTGAAGAGCTGAGCACCTGGGAAGGACACCAAGACGCAGTGTCCTCAGAACGCGGCCCACCAGGAGGCACTCAAGGGAGAGGCAGGGGCAAAGCTTTCCAATCTATGCACAAAGATGAGGCTAAGAGCAATCCTGCAGCGGCCACAGACCAGAGCAGAGGTGACACTTCAAGGCCACTGAGGCACGAAAGTCTGCTCCAATCAAAAATGTGTTTTCAGAGAGAAGCCATAGCTGGTTCGCTTACACCAATTTTGGCCACAGTTACCGGCGCTGTCACGTAGCCACTTCTGGGCCAGACCTCTCTCCTATCAAACTGTTATGGCCGGGAGAAGCTGCAGGTGAGCACAGGTGTGTGTACACACGGGCTGCACTCTATAGAGGGCAGTGCTGATGACAGAACATGAAAGGCCCAGCCCCATGTGGTGTCAGCTACGAGCAGTTCTCCAGCTGGCACTGCAGTATGTCTTTGCTGGCCATGCTGGACAAAACTGACCAATGGCACTCATGGTCTCCTTCTTTCTTTTTTCTTTAAAAAAAATTTTTTTTTTTTTGGCTGCGTTGGGTCTTTGCTGTTGCACGTGGGCTTTCTCTAGTTGCTGTGAGTAAGGGCTACTCTTCGTTGCAGTGAGCAGGCATCTCATCATTGTGTTGGCTTCTCTTGTTGCAGAGCACGGGCTCTAGGCATGCAGGCTTCAGTAGTTGTGGCATGTGGGCTCAGTAGTTGTGGCGCACGGGCTTAGTTGCTCCGCGGCATGTGGGATCTTCCCGGACCAGGGCTCGAACCCGTGTCTCCTGCATTGGCAGGTGGATTCTTAACCGCTGTGCCACCAGGGAAGTCCCATGGTCTCCTTCTTGACACCAGGGGTAACTTGGACACCCAGAACAATCCTGGGAAAAAGCATGGGTCAGCAGTGCCCCAAAGTCTGGCGAAGAAGAGGGTCTGGTGCCAGGAAACCCTAAGGTCGGAGGGTCTGGGCCCAAGCCCTGATGGCCATCGATGGTGTGGCTTCGTCTGCGTTCCTCCAGCGCCTAACCTCAGTCTGCTCATGTCAGAAGGATGAGAAGGAGGCCTGTGCAGGGGTTTTACCAACGGGGTGAAAAGCTGATAAATGCTCCCAGAAGTGGCTGCCCACTGTCCCCCAGCTCAGGCATAGATGGTGAATGAGGACGCACAGACCTGCCCCAGTGTGGGACTGGGGCCGCACTGGCCACCCTCACCTGCTGGTCCCAGTATCTCTGGGGATGTCAGGGAGAGGGCAGGGGGCGTATGAAGTCCAGATGGATAAGACCCCCAGATGGATTTGGGGGGGTGGTCAGTGACGCACGTGGTCCCCTGCCAGGCTCCTGCACAAGTCACTGGGGGCCAGAACCGCCGGCCCTGAGGGGCGGGGTCAGGGCGTTGCACACGTGGGTGGGCGGAGCTCTGGCGCCTCAGACAGAAGTGGGCGCTGCGGACAGAGTCGAACTAGCTGGGAAGAGGGCATCGCAGAGAGCCGCCCCCAGGGCGGACGGAAGGGTGGGCGAGGTGACGGGGTGGAGGTGGGGGCCGCCCGCCCGCCTAGCCATCTCGGGCACCGAGTGCAAAGGTGAAGCCGGTCCTGGGAAAGCCAGACTGGGCAGAGCGTTCCTGAGGAGAGCGACCCCCGCGTCCTTGCCCCGGGGGTTGCCTGGCAGCACTCCCGCGTCCAGTATCTGTCCCGCGTTTCCCGCCTCGCCCGGTGCCCGCCACTCCGCGGCGGCTCCGCGCCTGCTGCAGGCCAGGGAGGAGAGGGTCGTTGCCGTCGAGGGCGGTGGGTCTGCAGCTGGGGAGGTGGAGCGGTGGGGGAGGGAGGGGCAGACGCCCCCATCCTAGCAAAAGGCTCGGAAACAGCGGCAGCCCATCCCCCATCCAAACCCGCAGCGTAAAGGGCGGTGGCTTTTTCGACTGGGGCGGGTGGCACCGTGTCCCAGAGGGTGGTCCCGAGCCCGCAGCGGCGAGGTGCGGGCGCGGCTCGGCTCAGGTTTCCGTTTCCCGTCTTCTCGCAGCGCCCCCTCCCGTCCCCCGGCCCCTCTGTTGGCGCAGGGAGAGCCCGGGCCCAGCTGGCCCCGGGCTGGGACTCCTGCAAAGGGTCCCGCGCTCCTCCCTCTGACCCCCGAGAAGGCGCGGTCCGACCCGGGTCTGGGGTCCCCGGGCGCCTCCAGGGACCCTGCCCGCATCCCGCGAGCGCGCCAACCCATGTGTCTCGGAGCCATCCTGAGGCAGTCGCTCCCGGCCTGGCACAGCAGCGCCCCAAGGGGCAAGGGCACCCCCGCACCGATGCCCCCACCCCGAGCGGAGCCCCTGCTCTGCGGCCCAAGTCCGTTAGGCTGGCGCCGCAATCCCCGCCTTATGGGCACCGGGTCTCCCCACCCGGCGGCCCTGAACCCCGTCTTCCGCCCGGAGAGCGCCCGCGCCCTTGCAGAGCGTGGGGTCCGAGATGAGAAAACACTCCGTAATCGGCCCAGCGGTGGGCGAGGCCAGACAATAGCCTCTGCTCAGATCCGCCGCCCCAGGACTCCCGATGCCCCGGTGCCTACCGGACACGGTGCTGGCCATGGTGCTGGCGGCGGTGGGGTTGCGGAGGCCGGAGAGGCGCGGGCGGTGGCTGGAGCTGCAGTCGGCGAATGCTGCAGTGTCGGGGAGGGGAGGGGGCAAGGGAGGGCAGGAGGCGGGAGCAGCGGGGAGAGGGAGGGAGGGAGAGAGAGAGTACACCTGTCTACAGGAGGAACCCAACAAACATCTCTTGATGAATGGACGGATGGAAGGAGGTGGGGAGGGAGGGATGGGGGGATAAGTGGATGTATGGATGGATGAATTGGCTGGATGAATGGGTGCATGGGTGAATGGACGGATACAGGGAGACAGGAAGGGAGGGAGGGAGGGAGGGAGGGAGAGAGAGAGAGGGAAAGCGCCTGGCTGTTGCACGGGCTGCAGCCGTCAGAGGGAGGAGATGATGGGAGGGGAGAGATCAGCCGGGGACGCAGAGCTGAGCGCTGCAACCCGTTGCCCATCCTCCCACCGCTCACCACTTGGAGCTAGTGCCCCCCCCACCTGGCTTTGTGCACTCCCCGGGGGGATGGCGGAAACAGCCCCCAATTCCCCAGGGTGGGTGCAGCAGGAGGCGATAGGCCTCAACATCAGAGTGGGGTAGGAGAGCTCTTCACTGAGGCCAGTGGAGGCTGGGAGGTGCCTTCTGTGCGCCCAGGCTTGTGCTGAGGGCAAAGCGAGTCATGGATGGTGAGGGTGGGGGCTGGTCTGGAAGGCCTCCAGGGGCATCCGAGAGCAGCTCCTGAGGCAGAGAAGAGGGTAGATTGATGTGAAGAGGCCTAGAACAAAGGCTTTGGAGCGAGACGGAGACTGGAGCCAATCCCAGCTCTGACATCTACTTGCTATGTGACTGAGGGCGAGTTTCTGACCTCTCTGGGCCTCCATTTCTCGGGTGTGAGATGAGACAATGGTGTCAGTCCCCAGGTGGTGTAGGAGAGATGTGCACACTTGGTGAGTCGGTGGCGTCCTGCCCCTCCCCCCGCCAGCCTCAGGGTTTTTGTTGATACCCCCAAAGGCAGAGCTGTTCCCGCAGTGACCATGTCACCTCTTTGGTGATGGGGATGGCAAGTCAGACAGATGGGGCGTCATTCCCATTTTAGGGACGGAGCCACTGAGGCCAAGAGAAGTGCTGACTCCACAAGCAATGAAGTCCTAGAGCCAGAACTAGATCTCTGGGAAACCTTAGGGACACACAGAGAGAGGAGGAGGGCCCAGGACCTCTGTGTGCACACACAGCAAGCATGTGACTGGTTAACATCTGTCCTGTGGTCCACATGGGGTCGGGTCCACCGTGGGAGTCCCACAAAGCCTGGCAGAGCAGACACTCAGTGCAAGTTTGTTGACTTGATCGAGATCGCAGTGCCGGCTGAGTGGGCTTGCTATGGCCAGCCTTCTTTTCCCCTTCTGCTCACCTCTCAGGACTCAGTACCACAGCATTTACGTGTTATAATTAATAGGAGCCTGGGCAGGAGTCCCTCTGCACTATGTGTGACCAGGGTCCTCAGCTCCATTTCTGGCCCAGGAGTTTGCCAAGTCTCTGGGTCCTGGACTCCCCTTCCTTGGACTTTTGTGGGGGAAATGCCATTACTCTCAGAAGATGGGGGGTGTGGAGGTGAAGAGTGGGACTCCTGGCTCTGGGACGTGCTGCCGTCTTCGGGAAATCTACTAACTACCCACCCCGTGCTTCCTTTCCTCACCTGTAAGGAGTGGATCATAAAAGCACTTATCTCAGGGGTCATTGGAAGGACAACCGTGTTAATGCCTGCATGGATGGTACTGAAATGTGTGCCTAGTGAGCATTCAGCAAGTGTGTGGCCGGGTCTCCTCTTCTCCAAGCTCCCTGCTGAGATAGACACTCTCCTGTCCCCTCACTGGAACAAGTGGGTGTGGCTGGATGCCAGTGTGTGCCAGGGGCTTCCCCAAGCATGATCTCACACACATCAGCCTAGACACTCATGTGGCATTAAGGTGCCATCAGTGGGAAAACATCTGGACATTAAACAGCCCACGAGACCCTCTAAAATCAGCCTTGCCAGCTGACTGTGGGCTGTCACTTCAGCGTCAGTTTCTTCCTGGTGCTCTTTGGGGCATGCTGGGGTCACCTAGACAAACACTATTTTTTTTTTAATATTTATTTATTTGGTTGCGCTGGGTCTTAGTTGCGGCTCATGGGCTCCTTAGTTGTGGAATGTGAACTCTTAGTTGCAGCATGCATGTGGGTTCTAGTTCCCTGGATCAGGGATGGAACCTGGGCCGCCTGCATTGGGATTGCAGAGTCTCAACCACTGCGGCACCAGGGACGTCCATAGACAAACACTTCTGACCACACAGAACTGTGCAGACCCCTGGAACCTCCCTGTTGACTGCCAGCTGGTGCTGGGGATTCAGAGGTCCCGCCCTGACCAGTGGGGGACATTGACCGGAAAAGCGGCTGGACCCAGAGGACAGTAAGGAGCGGAGCTGGTGAGGCTCTCAGGAGCCGAGTCACGGGCAAGGGTCAGCCACTTGCGAAATTTAAGGAGAGTGATCAGCTCAGACTCGAGTCTTTAAAAGACCTCTGGGTCTTTTGAGAAAAGGGAAACCACAGGAAACCTGTTAGAAGGCTTGTGCTGTTGTCCGGGCAGTTGTCCGAGGGGGCTTGGCCCAGGGGGGGAAGTGGAATGGAGACCCTGGTGGGGAGGGAGGAGACGGCGGGACCCCAGGTTCGTGCCCGCGGGCGAGGAGGTGCCGCTCACCAGGCTCAGGGTCAACGGAAGGGGCGGGTGGAACGTGGAACGCTGCGCGTTAGCAGAGCGCGGACCCCGAGGGAGAGGACCGGTTTCCGGCCGGAGCACTGCGCAGAGGACCGGAATTGGGGGCGGAAGTGCAGCGCGTCCACGGATGACTGCGCGCCTCAGCCCGCAAGGTCGGACTGGTTGCCTGCTGAGGACGCGGTGGTGGTGAGTCGGAGAGACTGGGGCGAAGTCCTGGGGATCCCGGTCGTGGAAGGCTCCCCGCGGAGACCCTGGCACTGGAACCTGTGCCCAAGCGGCGGCTTCCGCAACTGCAACTCCCGGCAGGCTCCGCGCAGCCCTGGGGCCGCGCGCTGGCGACTTTGGCGCGCTGCATTGTGGGGCGCGTAGTGCCCGGCTCCG